TGCCGGAACCGTAATGGGCATTTGCGTGTTTGCTTGCCTGTGGTCACCCGTCTGCTCAGGAAGAATGCAGACTCCGTCGGGGTGGGTTCTTGTTTTCCCGTCGCTGGAGAGTGGCGTTCAAGGGTCTGACGCGCCGCGGGGAGAAAGACTCGGGCCCTCGAGTCGGGAGGCCCGGCTTCATCCGTGAGAAGTCCGCGGGGCGCCTTTCTAAAGTGGAAGACAGGGGCGAGATGGTCTCGTGCGGTTGCTTAGAAGTGGTTCCATGATGTGAAAGCGCTGTTGGACTTTTCCTCCCCGAAAGAAAGTCTAATTCGGCAAGTAGGTCGGACCGCGACAACTGGTTATGGTCATTTTCCGTGGATCGAGAGCTAAAGGCGCAGCTCTGAAGTTTTGACATGGTTCTGCTCGAAATACAGATGTAGTATGTGTCAGTAATTTCCCTATTTGCAACTTTATGGGAAACAGTTTTTAGGTGTCAGGAGGAAGTGTGTAGGAAGTGCTCAAACTAAAGCTTTAGTGCCAGTGTCCTAAGGAGATGAGACACCTGTTCTAAAGAGGCTTCTGCGGAGCCTTCCTGTGGGTCATAGGTCAATACCCTTCCTCCCAGCAGCCAGCCCGTTACCGAGTCCTACTCTTTCCATCTCGCTAACCTTTTCTAGAAAGTGCTTTTTGAATTGCCAGTATGTCTTCCTAACTCATGTCCCTCCCAGAAGTTCTGCCACCTCCTCAAGACTCAGGGATCTAGAAGACTTCCCTGCAGCCCCGGGGCGGAGAATTTCAGGAAGCTGTGATTAGCAGTGTCCATGCAGCAGGGAGGGCCTGGGTGAAATCTCCAACACTGCGCCTTTGACAGTTATTGGTGACAGAGCCAGAAGCTGAGAGGTGGGAATGTAAGTCATTCCGTTGTGTCGAGTAGAGTGCAGGAGAAGGCGGCTGTGTCAGACTTTCAGAAGCCATCAGGAGCCTTGCATTGGGCAGCAGAGAAGGCCGCCGTGAGCTGGGTCTCACCAACACTGCAGCAACAGTGGGAAGTCGCTGGGGAGGAGAGGCAAGGATTTTTGGCATTTGGGTTTATAGGGTGGGTCTGTCCTCTGAACTGGGAACCTCAGAGAAGAGTATACATGTAGCGGGAGGGTCATAAGTCACGAGCTTGTTTTTGCTTGTGGTAGGTGTTTGTGTGCGTTTGCGGCATCCAGATGGAGATGTCAGGGGAGCATGTGGATAAAGGTAGCTACGGCTAGGTGTGTGTGAGGTTTCAGTTGAAGACAGAGGAGAGCCTGGGCCAGAGCCCTGGAGACACCTGCATATAGTGGCCCCCAGAGCGCAGGCAGGCAAAAGGCAGGTGGGTCCAGGGATGGACAGGATGCGGGGACACATTGGTTCCCATCTGGGGCAGTGTGGGTTCATTAACTAGCTGAGCTTCCTGATGTGAGAGAGGCTGGGCAGTAGGAGTTAGGAGAGCCCTGATAGTCAACTGAGAGGGACAGTTTTGCAGGCTGAGTTGGTGGCTTTGAACCTGAAAAGTTTCATTTTGAAAGTGATGAATAGCGAGAGAAGTGCTAAAGGTATATACTAGTTTTTTTTTTGTTTTGTTTTGTTTGAGTTGGAGTCTCACTTTGTTGTCCAGACTGGAGTGCAGTGGCCGCTCCCGGCCACCGCAGCCTCGACCTGCTGGGCTCCGGCGATCCTTCCGCCTCAGCCTTCCAAGTAGCTGGAACTACAGGTGCGCACAACCATGCCCGGCTGATTTTTTGATTTATTGTAGAGATGAGGTCTTGCTGCCCGGACGGGTCTCGAACCCACGGGCTCAAGCAATCCACTCACCTCAGCCTCCCAAAGGCGCGGGATTACGGGCTGAGCCACCAAGCCCGGGTATATACTAGTTTTTTAAAAACATTAATGAGTTTTTAAAAGGGGAAAGGTGTTTTGAAAATAAAAGAGTGCTTCCTTTACTCAAAGCATAGAATGCTCTAAAACCAGGATATCAGCCATGTTTTATAAAACCACATCATTTCTATGGATATTTTTGTTTTACTCTCAAAACCCTGGAGGCATAAGTCAAACCCCTATATGCTGGAGCCTCTTGACTTTTTTTTTTAAGTCAGAGTCTCACTCTATTGCCCAGGCTAGAGTGCAGTGGCATGCTCACGGCCACCACCTCAGCTTCCCAAGTAGCCAGAACTA